GTCGTGGGTTGTGAAATGTACAGACAGCCTGACTGCGTTAAGCTCTTTCAGCTGTCAGTATGGTTTCAACACTTAACTCCTGTTTTCCTTCCTTTCGTCTCCTTCTCATTGTATTCTGTGGCAGTGTCCATTTCCCCCAACAAACCAGGGCAATTAATAGTTTTTCTACCAAAATATTAATAGTAATTTCTGGTCAAACATTACACCCCAACGCTTCCTACAGACTATGACAGGTCGATCAAGACTATTCGTTCGACTGAAAGACAGTGAAAGGTGGAGTTCGTCCACTGAACTAATTCATTCATTGATGAACCAGTACCTTCACAAATATGATCTCTCAACCTTTACTTCGACTGCAGCTGGAGCATTATGTCCAGTTAATTTTGGATGCCTCTTTGTAGAAGGGATGTCAAGGCCGTATCTAGGGTGTAGAAGAGATTCACTGGGATGATATCAGGGATGATTCATCATTTGGGATTAAGGGACAACCTTTTTCTGAATGTCATATAAAAATAAGATGTGAAAGCTCTTCAGTATTCACAGGGGCAGACTGGCTATATGAGAATTTAGGAAAGTATGTTCATGCACATCAATGTCCCAGAAACAGCTGTGAAGTGAATAAGCAAATTTTCTGGTGGGAGGTGGGATTATCAACCACGACCCCAGAAAAACTTTCTTCTCTTTTCAAACAGTGCCATGGGAACTTTAGAGTCCACCTGAACAGGACCTTGGTTAAATGTCTCATCTAAAGCACAACACCTGCAACAATTCAGCATATCCTGTCTTGCATCTCAGTGGTTAGAGCACTTGCCTCGCAAGCAAGAGACCTGGGTTTGATTTCTGGGCAGAACAAAACCTTAGGCAAGTTTCATTACTCCACACGCCTCTGTTTACAAGTAGGAACTTGTAAGTAGGAGCACGGTTGTTAGTCGATTAGTGGATCGCTTTTCCGGAGGTAACAGTCCCTTCAAAAGATATAATAATAATTTGGTCGCTCAATCAGGACTGTTTGTGGGACACTGCTGTGCAACTCGGCTGCCGCGTTTCGCCCACAAAATATACAGTCTATTCGCTTTACAATATATTCTGTGAAGCGCTTTGAGATTTCTCAAAGACGTGGTAAGGTGCCATATCAAATACAAGGATTATTGTTATTATTATCCCCAGTATTGCATTGGAGTGTCAGTTTAGACACTACTAATGTGAGTTCAAAGCAGCCAGCAACTTAAGGCTTTAACATGCAACAACTTGCACTCATATAGTGCCCTCCATGCAGGGTAGGGTCTCAGAGCACTTAAAATCTTCTGACTACCTTCTGATTTAGAGGTGAGAGTGCTACTGACTACCCCAGGCTGACTCACAAGAAGATTGTGCCAGGCTGACAATCCAGCACAGTACTAGGGGGAGGACTGCACGATCAAAGACATCCTCTTTTGGAAGATGACTGTTGAGGTGGGAGTTAAAGATCCTATGATATGATTCATAAGAGAAGGGAGTTTTTCCTGATGTCCTGGCCAACAATCCTTCAGATTCATTGGTCTTTCAATATGACTGCATGTGGGACCTGGCTAAGGCCTACAACAGCCTACAACTATATTTGCCTTATCTGTGAAATCTTTTGAGATGTTTTGACAATAATAAGGTTCTATGAAAGTACAAGTTCTTTCTTTCCAAGTAAGAGTTTCAGCAAGAGAACCCCCTCAAAATTACCCACGTGGTTTTTGTCATAGTTGTAATGATCACCAAACTAAACAGCAAATAACGTGCAGTTTAAATGTAGTACTCGCCTCTGAATCAGAAAGTTGTGGGTTCAAGCCCTCCATCGGGACTTTGAACTCACAGTCGGCTATTCAGATGGGTTTTAAAGATCCCATGCTACTGTTTGAAATGAGAAGAGAGTTTCTTCATGATGTCCTGGCTGACAATCCACCAAATAAAATTGGTCATTCACTTCATGGATGTTTGTGGGACATTGTTGTGTTCAAATTGTCTGCTGTATTTGCCTAGAAATTCACAGTTACTACAATTTACAATGAAGAGCTTTGAAATATCTTGACAGTGTGATAAAGTGCTATATCAAAAATGAAGATTTTTATTAAATTTTTTAACTGTAGAATATAAATTACCAAACCTCACCCTGCCCCTCAAACTCTGCTTTCAGTGCTGATGTAAACAAAGCTGGGCCTGTAGATAGCCTTAGTGGTTAGTGGGATAGCAGCTTTTCTAATGCTATTTTTGTTAGTGAAAACTGTCATGTCACTAATCAGCAGTCAAAAGCCGGAAACCGAATGCATAACCTGGTTTCACTGACGTCAACTCGGAGCATGGTACCAAGGGAGGGGAAGTGAATACTGCTTGACGCATTGGAGTAATTCACGGTTAATCAATTCAAAATTCAGATCAAATGTTAGACATCATTGTTAGCGTTTGCCTCTCTTTCTGTCTCAGGATGTGGGTATCGCTGGCATTTTGTCAGCATTTATTGCTCAACGCTGGTTATCCAGCGAAGGTGATATTTGCCCTTCTCTTTAACTGTTGCAGTTCTGATGGCGACAGTACTTCCCCAATGCTGTTTAGGAGGGAACTTATAGTTGGTTCAGTGCTTTGTTCTCTCTAACATAAAACACTTCTTTTACTGATCAGTGAAGCACTTGGACATAGGTATTGGTAGAACTGATGGAAGATGGAACATCATCTGGCAACAGCATCCAGAAAAACTGGAAGAGGATTTACAATGTAATAATAATAAATAATAATAATAATAATCCTTGCATTTGGTACAGCACCTTATCTTTGAGACATCTTAAAAGTACTTCACAGAATATGCCGTCACGTTGTCAAATGTCTCAAATCGCTTCGGAGGATTTCATAACCAAGTATAGTGATCTTATTTGTAGGCCAACACAACAGCTAATTTGTGTATAGCAGTATCCCATCAACAGCCATGAAGTGAGTGACCCATTTTATTTTGGGGATTGTTGGCCAGGACACCAATAAAAACTCCCTTCTCTTTTCAAAAAGTGCCATGGGTTCCTTAATGTGCACCTGAACTGGCAGAGTGGACCTAAATCACAAGGTTTGAGATAAAGGTCATTCAACCCATTTAATCTAATTATTTTAGAATATCCACTCTAACAGCTTCCTATTACAGTATCAAGCTGCTTCGTAAATCTATAAAGTTCCCTGGCCTCTAGCACCCTTTCCTGGTAACCCATTCCAGCTGTTGGACACTCACTGTGTAAAGAACAGCTTCCATTAATATGACACACTTCAGGTGGGGTAATGTCTTGGAGAGCTGAAAATACTTTTTGGTATTTAGTCTTGGTGTAAATACTCATCGTGTGTCCTAAAAATATACTTCACATCCTTATTCTCTGGTCGACCCCTGTCTTGTTTTGGGCAATTACCAATTTTGGGCAACAACCACGGAAACTTATAAAATGGGCAAACTATACAGAGCTACAGTATTTGATTCATGTATTAATGACCTCACCATAAAATGGAGAAAACACAAAGTTCAGTTACTGTAAATAATTTGAAACTGTTACATTTCATTATACTGAATCAATCATTTTTTATAGTCATAAAAGGAGACACGATATCTAGAAATCCAGCCTCCTTGTAGATGGCACAAACACACTAAATCAGCCTTGTCAGAGGGAGGTCTTGTCTCAGTGGCTTTTCAGATACATAGACTCACAGTGGACTCTTATGGACTGTAATTTCTCAGCAGTAGGACAATGTCTTAAAACGTTATAGTTTGCTGAATTTTCAAGAATTCATAGATTCAGTCTTAATTTGTCAGCCTAGCTCAGTTGGTAGCACTCTCACCTCTGAGTCGGAAAGTTGTGGGTTCAAGCCCCACAGCAGGACTTGGAACTCATACAGTCTAAGTTGACGCTGGAACGCAGTGCTAGGAATGTGCTGCATTGAGATGTCGTCCTCCAGATGAGATGTTAAACCGAGTCTGCCTGTTAAGGTGGATGCTAAAAATTCCATGGCACTGTTCAAAAAGAGAAGGGAGTTTCTCCCAGTGTCTTGGCAAATAATCCCCCAAATAAAACTGTTCATTCGTTCCAAGGCTGTCTGTGCGACATTGCTGTTCGTAAATTGGTTGCAAATTGGTTTATCCGCAAAATACACGGACACTCCACTTTACAATATATCCTGTGAAGTCCTGATATGTAAGGTGCTATACTAAATTCAAGGGTTATTATTATCCAGTTTGTGGCAGGTTTCCTCAAATTCTTAAAAACGACAATTTTTTTCAGGTCTACTAATAATTGCCTACCATCACTGGAATTCTCTTCCAAAAATATTTTTGCCTTACTATGTCTTTCCGTCCTACGAAAACCTTTGAAAAACACATCTTTTTCACCCTGTCTTTCATCAGAATTTTTGAATCTCCCTTTCCCTTTCTTTGAATGAAAGACATGATATGCCACCTAAGGAACCTAATGCATGTTTGGCATTGTACCACTATAATTTTGCTTTCCAACAAGAAGTGTAAATTAAAGATGGTTTCAGCAGTGAGATTCATATCTGCACATAGTATAAATTGTGATGGGTACCAATCACACAGGGCTCCTTCTTTGTTCATACTTTGAATTGCAGCTGATCCCACGACCACCTCTTCTGCAAGGTTGAAATCTAACAGCTGATTTTGGTGCTGCTCTGCACAATATATTCTGTGAAGCACTTTGTTATGTTTCAACAATGCAATGAGGTGCTATATCAAATGCAAGGATTAATATATTATTATTATAGATATTTGTTTTGTTCCTGATTCACAGTAGTGTAGTGCAGGATGCATATATCAGACTTCACGCTCCACACTGATTTACTGGCGGGTGGTTCTGTTCCACAAAGCAAAACGTGTGTCAGTCACAGGAATACTTGGCAAGTAACATATGCTTAGCAATACAGAGTGAAAAAATATTCCATTGTGTTCACAATTCATTAGTTTACTTTGCGGTAATGGGAACAGTTAAACCCCTTACCATTCTGCGTTGTAGTGAAGTCCAGGAGTTTATACTCATATGCAATGCCCACTTTGGTTTCTACCTGTGCTCTCTTCAGTGTTGAGTAGATTTTGCCTGGGCTGTTTTCACTGGGCTTCTCCAGCTTTGGCAGTCCACAGCCCATCTTCTCAGTTTCTAATTTAAAGTAGAAAACACAAGATGTGGTAGAAATAGCAGCAATAAATGACACCTTCAGATTCCTTTCGGAAGTGTAATAAACCATAATCAAATAACTGGGCCAGTGGATGAATTCTATTTATCATAGATGCCAAAGCCAGTTTCTGTTCAGTGCAATTCACCCTATAGCAGTACAGACATAAACAATAGATTTAACAGCATTAACAATGCATTGCTGCATCTCATTGATAGGAGATTTTTTTTCTCCAGATTTAGTACTCTGGAATTCAGCCCTTTATGTTATTTCATACCACATCACAAATGCTGGGCTAAAATAGTTTGGAATCAATGTAATTTTATTGGAAATTGGCTCACAGCTGCTCATTATCTGATACTTTAAAATGATTTTAGTTTCTTGAGCACTTTTTTTAAAATGATTGGAAAGGAAAAGTAACCCTTTGACAGCTGTTTTGTATATTCTAAATCTGCACATATTCTACTATGCATTTGCATCTGATGTTCTGTAAATGCCTAAAACTTAATACAACCACAACAACTTGCATTTCACATAGGGTAACATCTCATAACCCTTTGCAAGGGCAGGATTGGACTCCGAAAAAGGGAGACATGATTCAAACAGATGGGATATTCATCCGTTGGATCTACAAAGCTGTTAGTAACCTGAATTATATGTGACTGGAATTGATACTGTCCAAGGATCAGGAAACAAAAATTAATTTGTGTCAACAACACATTACACTTGTATACCGCCCTTCACATCGGAAAGACGGCCCAGGGCGCTGGACAATCAGGGGTTTGGATTCGAGCTGGGAGTTGGGGTCAGGAGAGGTGGAGAGCAGGGAGGTTGGGGGTGGGGGTGGGAAGGTGGCCCAAGGCACGGTCAAAGAGGAAGGTCTTTAGACGGGACTTGAAACAGGCAAAAGAGGGGATGTGGGATAGTAGAGTTCTAGAGTGTGGAGACAGAGATGCTGAATGCCAGACCACAAATGTTGGGGCAGGAAGTGCAGGGGACCTGGAGCAGGAGGTGGGAAAGGCCTGAACGGGTCACGGCACGAATGTGGGGTATGAAGGATAGCTGAGGGTCGAACAGGACACAGGTTCCATATTGGTTTAGTGTGGTGTAGAGTGCAACCACAAATTGTGATACTGTCAGCTCCTGAGGTTGGGTTTGCAAAAAAATAGAACTGAAAGTACTTCTTTTTTTCAGGAATGTAGAGTTTCTGCATCAAATTGCAGTGAGAAGATTATGTCTCTTTGAGTTACAAAGAACTAAGAAAATATAATGCCACACATTTTCCTGATTCCACTTGATGATAATTAGCATAACAAATTACAATTTATCTTGCCATAAGCTGATAAAAAGCAGAACTCCTGATAACTCTGAAGAACAGTCACTACAGACAAAGATTCAGCTAGGCTTCAGTAGCACTGGCTCTCTAGGTCAGAGCGTTGTTGGCTCAAGCTTCAAATTCATTGCTGGGGAGTGTTGTCCTTTGGATGAGACACTGAACCATTCAATCCCATCTGTCTGTTCATTAAGATGTTAAAGATCCTTTAGTACTTTTCTATACAGCCAACAATATTTCCAGATAAATGTAATTCATCACTTTACAAGGTTCACTGCACCACTGTTTGTGGGATCTTGTTTTGCGCAAATAGCTGCTGTCTTTGTCTATACAAAGAGTCAATACACTTGATAGTAAATACTGCAAAACTCTTTTAGATGTTTCAACATGATAAGATGCTATAAAAATACAAATACTTTATTTTACTAAAAAGATAAACTAGACTTGGACAATAAATCAGTTTGTAGGGAACAGGTTTGGACTAATATTCAAAAAAATATTGAGGAGAAAGGGCAGGGAAGTGTGACTAAATGGGTAGATTTTTCAGGGAGCTGACACAGCACAATGCACCAGGAAAACCTCCTTCTGTGTTGTAAATTCAACGATTCTATGTTTTTATGATTATAGATAGAATCTAATAGCCTGTCAGCCTGGTTGTGGGCTAACCTCAATCACATGAGAAGACTAATTCTATCATTTTGCCTAAGTCTGTTTTGGGGGAATTTTTTAAATAGTGGTAGTCAAGCGAGGTCTCGGGAATAAGGCCTGGACTAATTTGAAAATTAATTTTTGCTGATTATTTCATAATCCATATAACTTCCCCAAAAGGAGATTGCTATGGTTTGATTCCCTTATGAATGCTAACATCGTTTTCATAAGCAGCAGAGTTTGGTCTATTCATTCGTAAGATCAGTTTTATTGTTATGCTTGGGAATGTTTCAGTCATTGAATAATATTAATTCTCCCATCCCTTATGGCACCAATGTTTTGTTCATTTTTGTGGAGTCCTGCAGCTCGGTGGTTAGAGCACTCGCCTTGCAAATGAGAAATCTGGGTTCGATTCCCAGCAGGGCAAAACCTTGGGCAAATTTCCTTACTCCACACCCCAGATAATAATCACTCAAGAAAAAAACAATAATAAATGAGGCACTTCAATCCACGACTGTTTGTGCTGTGCACAATGGCTGCTGCATTTCGCCCACAAATATACAGTCTATTAACTTTACAATATATTCTGTGAAGCGCTTTGAGATGGCTAGAAGACATGAAAAGGGCTACATCAAATGCAAGGATTATTATTATTATTTTTATTTTCATCTCAGTTCACAGCCCATAGAAGAAAAAATGCATTTTTACAGCACCACAAAAGTCAACATATCTCAAATTGCCTTACAGTAACTACTCATGTTGTGATTGTTTTTTTGAAGACTATTAGATAGATATACTATCTATATAATAGAATCACGTATAGTCAATTAGCCCAGATTTACTTTGTCTTTCTTACCTTTAAGGTAATTGCATAATTTTGTTTCCACACAACCAGTCAAAACACAGTGGAGCTAGTAGAGAGAAAAAAAAGGAAGTCGACAAAGATATTTTGAAGTGGTTTGGGGTCTGGACTCTTGTGTTAACTAACAGAGTCACAGGACGTATCAGCTCTAACAGCTGTTCTAGTTTAATTTTTCCCCAGAAAACAAAAACAAAGACTGGCATAGCACTCAGTAGATCATATATCAGTCTCCGATGAAGTACATAACAGATTGCCCGATGCATACTTTGTCTAACAGCAGACAAAATGCAGCTGAGACTGAGACTTCCAGAAGACAGAACATCTATGGTTATATATGTGTGTGTGTGTATTGTGTATATATATAGTATATCAATAATGTGATTATACAGTTATTTCTGGAATTTGTGTAGAGAATTGGGGATCCATTAACAAACCTCAAAGGTGAAAGCATGCACACTCAGTTCAAGTGTTGTTCTGTTTTAGTGTTACAGGCTTTGCTGTCACAAGGCACTTGTATTTCCACACACGTCAGAGTCATGCAAACACTATTTGTGCATCCAATAAAAACTACACCGAAAGTTTAACTGAAGATGCTCAGTGTTGCTCTTCAACGTGTAATGCAAAAAAAAAACCACACACACAAACGTCAGTTTGCTGGTAAAAGGAGAAACCAGTCTTCCTTTTGCTCGAAGCACTCTTTAAAACATTCAATGGAAATCCGCAGAATCCTATTTTTGCCATATAAATGCTGCTTTCAGGCTATATACAGGGTGACAAAAAGTCGTGATATCTACCCTATTATCTAAAAAAAACCATAATTTATTTAAGATTGATTAGACATTGTAATGGTATCACGACATGTTGGTCACCCTGTTGTCTTTGAGGCTACAGGAAACTTATACAGGTTATGGTTAAAGACAGATCACACCACAGAGAGTTTCGCCCTTAGGATGTAACAAGCAGTTTGTAACCTTTAATCACAGCAAATTGACGGTGCAATTTCAGCCACAAATCATTATTATATTGGAAGATCCCGGTTAAATGGCCATATACGTTTCCATTGCAATTGAATACAGCCACAGTCACAACGCCTTAAACACAACTTATTTTAAACCCTTGATCCTGACGTTTAGACACACACAAGGGTACCTTTTTGTTTTGGAGGAGGGGATGAAAGGGATGCCCTGATAATGTGGGTGAGGGAAGCACCCACATCCTTGGAAGGATCGTGAGCAGTTAACATACCATCACAGTTACACACACTCATTCCAGTGACTTACCCCGAGGAAACTCAAACAGAGTTAGCAGCCACACAGTGGTCTTGATCAACACTGAACACAAAACAAGTACAAGCAGTGACTCAGGCTCAGGCTCAGGCTCAGGCTGGGGGGAGATCAGGCTGAATGCAAAAAAAAAACCCAATCCGAATAAATGTCCTTTGACAAACTTTACAATTCAAGCTTTTGGGGTCTAAATATATCCCTCGACTTCCTTCTGGCTGTTGAGAACGTCATGCACCAAAAATGTTCTTCTCTCGAGCAGTGCGTGTTCAGTAAAACCACATCCTGTGACAGTTCAGTGTTTTTTTCTCTCTCTCTCTCTCTCTCTCATTCCCTCCTGCTTCTCCGCTCAAATCACAACTGCAGGCTCCTTGTCGTGCCAGAAATACTGCAATGAATGACCAGTGTACCAGGCGAAAGTGGGACTGGCCAGACAAGAATGCATTGCTAACATCTAACCAGCTGAGCTGAGCTGTGTGAGTGTGAGTGAGTGAGACAGACAGACAGACAGACAGACAGCATCAGCTTGCAGCCAGACAGGGTTGGCCAACACACTGACTTCACCACTCTTCAATGAAATTCATATTTGAAGACCCCTCCAGCAACCCCCCACCCCACTTCCAGGCTGAAATCCATTACTTGAATCTCTGGAGGAGTCTGTTAAAGGGGGGCAATCCCCCCCCCCCCCCCACCCCCCCAGGACAGACTGGGACTAATTGAGATTTCGTTTAAATAAAACAAAAAAAAAAGATCTGGTTGTTTTGAAAAGAGAAGCCACCAGGGACTTAATTATCTGGTCTATGTCAATGCCAGGAATTTTGAGGTTTAGCAGCCCTGAAAGGCTAATGTGTAATAAAAGGAGGAAAGAAAGTAGTTGTAAATGAAAAACATCAGGTATTTTCAAAAATCCACACTCCCATCTAATTTCATTACTGAGCCCCCAATCCATTCAAAACGTTCAATCGAAACCGATTTCTTGAAATGCAAGGAAAATAGCCAATGTGTTATTGGTATATGAACATTTAGCAAAATCGACACAGTATGGAAAATACCAGACAAGTAATACAACATCAGCAAAATGAAATGTCAACGTGACTGTAAGTACACAAATCTAAGCAGACTTATCTAATAAACTTGAAATGTGCAGTGATAAATTAAACATGCCATAAAACAGTATGTCACCTTGTGTAAACTTAAATAATTTAACACAATCTTTAACCCAACTCTCTGCCAGAGAGAAGCATCTAAGGGAGGCGTTTCTCACTCCAGATTGCTGTTAGTGCAGATAGCGACTTCTTAAAGAAAGTTATCTATTTATCTTTGTGAGGGAGGAGATGAGAAGTGAAGAGATGCGTGGTATTTTTATCACACCATCAAGTGGAAACGATCTGATGATAGATTTCTACTACTTTCCGTCCTTGGTAAAACATGTTTGCCAGTGTACAAAACCACTTAAATATTATTTTCCATAAAAACCTTGCACCTTTAGTTGCACACCCCTGCTTCATTCTGCATGTGTACAGATCAGATACTTTAGCTTTCCTATCTATTGGCTGATATTTCTTACTGATCCACATCCAATTTGGAAAAGGTTTTTTTTTTGCAATTGTATTCATCCAATTCCGTTCGAGAAATTGGTGTTTGGTGACTTTGCAAAAGATGCTGGAAAATGTTTTAGTTCCTTTTAACCCCACCTCTGCCCCCACCAGCTGGCCTCAGTTTATCAAGGGCTTGAGCATGGTGTAAGTGTAGGAAAGGGAGAAATCTCAACTCCCTGAGGATTGTCTAAAATCAATTCTTCACACTTCACACCAGTCAGTCGGAAGCGAACTATGCAGGGATGTTTTTAACAAAGGGTAAAACAGCACAAAGACAGGAAACTTTTGCATTGTATGCGATACTCCTTTTAGTTTCCAATTGGAACCTACATTTTCACAACCTACCTATTTCAAACTGATGAGTCAGTATACTTAAGGGCTGATTCACCAATTGCCAGTAAATGTACTGGCCTTGGTAGTGTGAAGTTATGCCAAGGATTTTGCCACTACTGTATAAACTGGTCATAAGATGTTCGGTAAATTTGCAAACCAACAAAGAATAACATTTACTAAATTAAACAAAATAGCATCCCAATTACGTCTTCATAGGCAGCTAACTAGCCATTTAATACTATTTTATAAACTTAGCCACTTGTCCAATTGGAAGGACTGTTTTTCCGCTTGGCCCGCTCTTTGTGTAAGTGCATCCAGACTAACTTCTGTGATCAGGGTAAATTTGTGCTCATCTACAAAATAAATAACAGCACATTGGGCACGAGCGATTTGGAACTAGACAATAAATTGGGTTGGAGGTTCAGCAGTGTGAGAGAGGCAAAGATTGTAGTGGCTAAAGTCAATCAAGCGAGTAGAAAGGAAAGTGCAATTTAATACAGATACCTGCAAGGCACTACATGTAGGAAGTAAAAATAGGAAATGTAGGAGACAACAACAAATTGCATTTGAATAGCACCTTTCATGTTGTGAGGACATCCAAGGTGCGGAGGGAGCAGCCAGATTACAGCTCCTAGGGAGCTCCGTGAAGGCGGTGAGCGGCTGGTCAGGCATACTTGCCCATTCTCTCCCTTCCTCTCCACCTCTCCTCACACGCTAGCTGATTTGAGAAGGAAGTAATGCAGATAACTAAAAGTCACACTGTGGCCACCAGTAAGTGTTGGTTGGCCATCCCCCCAGGAGGATAGTCACTAATGGTCATTTGACCGCCAACAAGAGGTTTGAGCCCTCACTCGTTGGATGGTAGGACAAGAGCCACACAGCTCAGCATGAAATGCGTGAGGTCACCATCTTCCTATCCACAACTTAGACACACATTCCTTCCCAATGAGCGATGGTTCCACCAGTTTGAGGTGTGAAGCTTAAGCAGCTCTCAAACCAATCAAGGCATTCCAGGCGCTGAACGTACAAATGCGTGATCAGGAACTCGGACTCCAGGCAACGCCTTCCAACAGCAGCCCCAAGCCTCAGTTTCCTTACCAGTTATCTGGAGGACATCTGCCTTCGCAGGAGAGCTTGTGACGTGCCAGCCACCTTGATGCTCTCAAGGTCTAAATCCAATCCTGCACCAGCTGCTTAATCCAGGTCCTTGTGTGAGAGGCCTTGACTATGCACTTTGAGACTCAACCTGGCTGCCCTGGATGGTGTTGTATTGAACGTAACTGAGCAGTATCTGTATACTGGCATTGAACTCATTTGAAATGCATTGACACTAAGAAATGTTCTTGATATTATTAATTTGGGCAGGCAAGTTAGACAGGGAATTACAATACAAATTACATTTGTATAGAGCCTTTCACGTCAGGAGGACCTCGCAAGACACCAGTGATGATGTGAAAGGTGCTCTACAAATTTAAATTTGTATTTTAATTTGTATTGTAAATATATTATTAAAAGTATTGAGCACTTTCAGAGATGCATGCAATTTTTCAAAAAAAGTTAAGTATGACCTTACTTTTAAGTGAGATATCAAAAGGCAAGCCAATTCTTCATTCTGATCACTGTAAAACAAGTCAAACTTCCCTTTCAGTTGTTCCTTCTCAAACAGTTCATCTTCACTCCTGTTAGTTTCCAATGTGTAAATCATAAATGAATCTCTCTTCTCTTCAGTGGCTTGAAAAGAACTTGCTCTGCCCTGTGTGAACTGTCTTTCACAGGATAGTGTCTCGGAGCGCTTAATATAAATGTAGATGTGGGGAATAGTTTATTCAGTTTATTCAGATCGAAGAGTACGTACTATTCTGTGAGTGGTGGCAGTACTCCAGATACTCCCCAATGGCCAGGGAAACACAGTAATTTAGAGCTGATTTCAATTTCAATTCATTTAGTCAGTAGTTTATGGCTGTCAAATTATAATAATATCCCTTGCATTTGACATAGCACCTTATCACATCATTGAGATATCTCAAAGCAATTCACAGAATATACTGTTTTGATTAGTTGTTTTGTGAACAAAATGTGGCAGCCAGTTTGCGCACAGCAATTGTCCCACAAACAGCCTAGAAGTGAACGACCAGTTTTAATGGGGGAATTGTAGGCCAGGACACTGGAAAAAAACTCCCTTCTCTTTTTGAATAGTGCCATGGGATCTTTAACATCCACCTGAACAATTCCTCTTAGTACCCCTACGTTTTTGAAGAAATATGTTAACCACGGTTCCCACTCATGATTGCTAGTTCACTGACATCTGCTGGTGGACATTGGGTCTGAATGGATCATACTCAGTTGTGCTGATCTCCAGTTCAAATGATCGCTGATATTTCTAAGATCATTCATAATAATAGTAATTCTTGCATTAGATATAGTGACTTATCATATTGTTCACAGAATGTATTGTAAAATTAATTGACTGAATTTGTTGGCGAAACCCAATAGCGAGTTGCGCACAGCAGTGTCCCACAGTCGTGGATTGAGTAACCACATTTTTTTGGGAGGGATTATTATCCCTGGAAAGCGATCTGCCAATCGACTAACAGCTAGGTTCCTATTTACTGCTAGGTAAACAGGTGTGTGTGGAGTAAGGAAACTTGCCTGAGATTTCACCCTTGACTGGGAATTGAACCCGGGTTCTCTTAGGGGCGAGACGGATGCTCTAACCACTAAACTACGGGATTCCACATGAATCATGACAACCTGGGTGAGGTAGGAGAGCTGCCAGTATCCAGGGATTAACAGCCCAGCAAGAATCACCATGCCACAAGGAGGTAGCAAGACAATGAGTGAAAATACAAACAAGAAACACACCTTGTTTTGACTATTGTGTATCAGAAGAAACAGATGAACCTACCTGTTTAAACTGTTTCCAAAGTGATATTGTGGGTTACAGATTTCCCACCCTGGTGGCATTTGTAATTACGTGCAGCAAAATGGGAACCAGTGTTTTTTGCATTCCTTTTAAAATGCCCAATGCTTTGCAGTAGGAACGTGCCTATGCACTCTTGGCAATTAACTATATTATATGCAGCTTAATCATTATGTGCAAATTCCATTCCATTCTCAATTATCCATTAGTATCAAGTGCATTTTGTCCACTTAAAAATGTAACTTCTCAGTTGTTACTTAATTTTTCAATAATACATTATTCCACTGGTAATTTAATTTTAGCAAGTGGGGAGAGACGATTTGACCATCAGTTATGAATCCCAGATGTGCATTTGAAAGAAAGTGTTGTCAAGTGGTATAGATCTTTGGTGAGGCTACATTTGAAGGGTTGAAATGGGGTATATGATACAATAATTACAACCGGTGATAAATTGTTAAACTTTTTTTAAAAAGAAGAAATGTTGGGATGTTTGCTACAGGAGAATCAAAAATCCTAACCGTCAGCTGAGTTGCTGCATTGGGGCAAAATTATTTTCAGTCAGGCACGACATGGAGGAG